TTGTTCAATTACAGACTCCGGTGTTCTTTCATCTCCGACATATATATAAAAAACCTATATAATTCAATAAATGTATATCGAATCGAAACGAACTTTCCCAGCGATCTTTTGAACCCTTTCCAAAAATACGCAGAATTCTGGCTAGATGCTTGTCAGAGCATACTGTCCTCAAAGTGTAAAGGTATAATTGAAGTAGATAATTTGCCAAGAAAAAGGCTAACGCTTACCTGCTTGGATTCTTCTTTCCGGGTCGAGAATGTATGAAAATTTGGCGATCTCTTCGTCCGGTGCTCGTAGCAGTTGATTTTCATTACCTTTATGGACAGCCAAGTGAGCCAGGTATAGAAACATTGGACGTTCAGTATCGTGTTCGTTAATCAGCCGCACAGCTTCGTTTGTGAAGAGATCGGTAGCGTATTTTCCTGCAGTGTCCCATGCCACTGTCAGATTTCGCCTCATATCGAAGCCTTTGTACTCGTTATATTGTGAATCCTGAGGAAATTTTTCTTATACAAAACTGATTTATATAGGTTTTATATTCTAACGTTTCATATTTAGGAAAATAAAATTTTAGAGATGACAAGTTATCACGAAGTTAATTTTCAAAATATTTACCGGTTCTTGCGCGATATGAGTGTAATAATCCTCAAGACCGTTCCAATATCCAAAGTGTGAGTCAAATCCACGATACGTCGGAGTATATTGTTTTTTGAAATATCCTAAATGCCATTTTCCCACAGCGTGTGTTTTATAGCCTATCTCCTGTAAATACTGAAACGAACATTCGTACGAAAAATATATTAAATTTTGGTCCAAATCGTAGTTTAAGGCATTAAACTTAAATTAATGATTCGCTTAGTGTCTTTAAAATGTTTTCATGTCATCTATAAGAATATGGAATAAAAATATATATGAACGTACATCATATAACACATACGTAATTCTCACTTAAAAATGTATCTGTGACCTTCACAGGGCATTTCAAGATCATTGCAAGGTAAAGTAAATATCGGCACGATATGTACCCTTCGAAATCGTACAACATTTGTTTCAAATCCTTTTTCGTACCATCTATAGTTTCCGAGATATTTACGTATTTCCTGTGATATCGACAACGCGGAGAATATCATAGCAAATAGTCTTTTACAATTAATTTCGGTAACTTAATCCAGTGATTTGACTAGAGTAAGATTTTCTTATTACAGAGAACGTATGAATATTTAATCGAAATTACGATATAATTAAACATATGAACAACGAATTTACGAATTCTGATAATTTGGTACACTCGAGACCATAGGCAATACTAAGTTATTGAAGTACATTTATGGGAAAGTAATTTAGAAGAATAGTCACGATTAATATACAAAATTATTGTAAATATTTCGAATAAACATGACTGCATTTTTCGATGTATTGCCAGCAGTTACGCCAAATTTTTTTTATTTCAAAGTAGAGAATTTTCTCTATTTAAAAATAAAGAATATATTCTAGCTTCCATTATTTGAATAATTCTATTGTATTCTGATCAAGCAGATTCTGATATTTTAATATTTGCTTTATGGTAAATTTGCTTGATCATGCAAATGATCATGGACTAACAAAGAATTTACTATGATTATACATAGAAGTTATTCGTGAGAAGAATTGTAAAATACTTTAGATAAACTTCCCAATAAATACTATTTAATATAGATAATACTATATTATATAGTTAATATCGCTACTTGGCATTAATAGTGGTACAACTATTAATAAGTGGTACAACAAGAAATGTAAATTTTACAGGACTTTTTAAAATTTATATTTTTGAAAATACTAAATACAGGCTTTATTGATGTAACTGCCGTTTAACACAAAACTGATGCCACTATAAATATGCCATTTTTCGTGATAGAAATAGAAACATAATGTAGATTTCGTATTTAATAAAAGCAAGTTTGAAATCTTTTTACTTGTGCCACTATCAACGCTCTGTAAATAAGGTATGCAAATATTACTATTAATATATATGTTATATATATATAATTATACAGGGTGGTTGGTAACTGGTGGTACAAGCGGGAAGGGGGTACGCGAAAAAAGAAGTCGAAAATATAGAATAAAAATTTTTCGTTTGAGGCTTTGTTTTCGAGAAAATCGACTTTGAATTTTCGCTCGGTACGCGTGCACTTTATCGCATCTCGTTATAACGGATCTCACTGTAGATCGTTGTCTCGATGGAAAAATTAAAAAAAAATTTTTTTATTTGTTTATTTTATTTAAAAAATTTATTTTATTTTTATACCCCCTTTCCGCATGTACCACCAGTTACCAACCACCCTGTATAAGTTATGCTAATAATACTAATGCAAAGTAGCTATGTAATATTTAATGTAATGTAATATATTATATTATATATTTAGTATAACATAGTATTTATTAAGCTTCCTAATAAATGATATTTTATTAAGATGATAAAATCGAAAGAAACTCACGTTGCGTGATTCGTTCAGAAACCTACCTGCGGTAATAGTTTCTCACTTAGAGGAAGCCCTCGTGGTTCGGTCGGATAGAGAACAGAATGTTGCATACCCAGATGAATCGGGTTTTTTCCAGTCATCAAAGCGGATCTGCTTGGCGTGCACAATGCCGGAACGTAATGATTATTTAAGATGATACCATTGTATGCAAGGGCGTCGATGTTCGGCGTAGGAATTTGATCCGATCCGTGAAAGCTTACGTCGTTCCAACCCTATGCAATGATTTTAAATAAACAATTTTTAAGTAATTGAGAATATGATTATTATCATCTTTTATTTTCAGTATATCTAAATGATATATTATTTAATTTATATTAAATATATATTAAATATTAATATATTGAATATAATTTATATTAAATATTAACACCAATAAATGAATATCACGAATATCATTAAAGCGGCACGATAAAAGTTGATATGGATTTTGCGAGAAATATTCTTAATAACTAAAAAGATACAAAATTTGTAATTCTTTAGTATATTTATAGTTTTATTTACAGAATATCTTTCTTCGTATCTGATATAACGTTACTTTGTTTAATTATAACGTCCTTTTTTACGGACACGATATATCGATCCTCTGCTGTTATTTGTACATACCAGGTCATCAGCAAGAATAATGATGATATGTGGCTTCTGTTTAGTTTCCGGCGGTTGAAAGTTAATTTGCACTTTCGGCCGCGAAAATAAGGATGTGAAGAAAACTGTACCCACGGCTGTTACTATTAACTCCGAGAGAAATAGCACGGTAAAAAACTGTAGTATCAATGCGAGGTTCATCTCGAAATCAGCTGCAACAAATAAAATAAAATTTCACATTCACAGAAGTTGATTACAGATCAAATTTAAAAACTGATCCAATCTATTAAGGTACCCATACAGTTCGTAGAATTGATTGTATAATAAATAATTATAATTTGATTAGCTGCTATCACAAATATTGATTAAGTAAATTACAGATTTGATTGAAAACGAAGTGTAAAGTTTCAAAGTACAAATATCAATAAAATACTATCCCGAGGTTGAAATTCCAACATAAAAGTTAATTACAGAAGGAAATAAATTAATAATTTAACAATAGTATAATACACAATAATGATAAGTAATTAATTAAAGTAATTAAGTAAATTAATAATACAATATCGTACATAGTTGGTGATAGTAATACTCTAATATCAGATGTTTCTACGTTTAGTCCAGCACTTGTAACGATAGTACAGTGATAGATGTAGTGCCATTGGCATTACTGATTTAAAAATCTCGAAGACCTGGGCTTACATACGAAATGTTGAACAAAAGAAAAACAAATATCCCTGTTAGGATATTTCTCTAATATATGAGCAGGCAATTGTCTAATCCAAGCGTTTTCTACCAGCGTTATTTACCTTATAGTATTTCATTAAGTATTTTCATTATCAGGTAAATCCATATATTGCCGCCCGTAAATATTCAAGTATTAGTATTTGTTGCAACAGTATGTGAATTTGTATTAAAAAGTACAAATTAATGGCAAATTAGTAGTTAAAAACAGTACTTACGAAGTTAGCAAATTATACATTGAAATTATCTATTTAAAGAATTAGCTGTAGTATATATATCTTTCTTTTTAATCAAATAATTAAATATTAAATAAATATATAAATAAATAACAAATTAAATATTAATAATTAATTACTCATCAATCAATCCACAGGACTTTTATTTGACGTATGAAACAACATCAGTAGTTGTATGAATTTAGAAGATCGTTTCGTCATCTCATTTATACAGAGTGGTCCGTAATTGATATAATTGGGTGTAGAGTAATTCTACGAGAAAAAATAAGGCGAAAATATGCAATAAAAGTTTATCATATGACGTTTTGTTTCCGAGAAAGTCAGTTTGGAAATGTGATAACAGGTATATTTAAATCTGGCTAATATCAGACTGAAGAAAAGAAAACGATCGGTAGGAGTTCGGACAATTAAACAGTTTGAGCTTTCCAAACAATAAGATAGTACCCAAACAATAAAATATTCGCAAGCTTTAACAAATATATTGTTGCAACTTAGCCCTAAGAAATCAACGTCATATATACAACGTCTACTCTTTCTAAGGTACGCTTAATTCGCTACTCTAAGGATAGAACTATTCTTTGTATTCACTAGGAATTAAGGAATGAGGAATTAAGTTTTGGACATTTCTCCCCATACTAAAGTTAGTCCTTACAGGTAGTGAATATGCTGGTCCGTGCTATAAACATCAGGATGGTCAACTATTCTAAACACTTTCACTGTACGAAGCTATCCTTCATCGATCAATAAAATTGATTACTGAGGTGTTACAGTTTTTCGCATATTTTGAGGCGACTAACGACGATAAAAATCACTTTGTCACTCGGTGATTAATCTATTAGCCTTAGAATATTATATATTGGAAAATTATGTTAATTAATAACGTTCTATCGATGACACAATTTCAGCCGCGTTAAATGGAAATGCATAAATATCTTTCAAACACGTGAGAGCGAAGGAAGAAAGTTCTTACGTTCATGGTAAAGGAGAAGAATGACTGTCCTGTATCCAACTATTCGTTGTAAGCTGTACATTTTTTCCGTTTATGTCCGGGTGGCATCTTTCCGTGGAATAAAAGAGATCAGCTTTGTTCGGCTGGTCTTTGCCAACGCGAGAACCGACTGACTGGGAAACTCAAAACGCGTTGGCTTATTACCACTTTAGATTTTCCGTATGGCTAGCGGCGAGGAGCAAAGGGAGGATCTGGAGCATAACGAAAGTGCTGTTCTGGGGGAGGAAAATGAAGGAGGCGAGTGCGAGAAGTCACAGTGATGCGTCGTGTATGTATACGTGAAAATTCAACATTCCTTTCAAATCACTGTGGTTTTTGTGCATGTAAAATTACTATGCCATGGAAAAATCTTATTTAATAATCTTATGGTATTTAGGCAGAGAAAGAGAGAGGGAGAGAGAGAGAGAGAGAGAGAGAGAAAGAGAGAGAGAGAGAGAGATTTTTAATAAAATAAATGTTAGCACTAAGATAGTTCTTATTTAATAATATTCTCAAATCTATTCTGTTATTATTATTTATATAATGCAATGACACTAGTTGAGAACGAACAACCTTTTATCTCAAGTAACTAAGGTGATATAGCTTTTGATGTAGCATTTCGATTCGACCAATAATTCCGGTGGAATTATTATATTATATTAATCAGATAGTACATATTATGGGTTGGAACGGTGCCACAGTTTGGACAAATACGATTTGAATAATTAGATGGAAACACAAGTAAAGCTTGGAGTAGCCTGCGTCGCGATGTAATTAAATTTTCAATCGGCATGACATTCAAATTGTCATAAGCAGAACGCTGCGAAAACGTTCGCTAATTGTCGCTAATTTCTTCAATTTGTTTCGATTGTTACGTTTTGCTGCTAGTTTTACACGGAGTATTCTATTATTTCATATTTATCTATTTTTATAGAGTCAAAGCAAAATACTTGCACATATGAGATCGTGCCGATTGGAATATAATATATATATATTATTACGTTACTTACTTAATAATATTTATTATGATTTAAAATTAGATATGTTTTTAGTCTTTGACATCTCGTATTTCGTTTTATTATAATTTATAATCACGATCTCATCGCGATCTCATGTACGAAGGCTATCTTTTTCAAAGAGTCTCTATATACGACCACCCGTGACTGCAGCTGATATAAAAAGCATATGCGCATTGCTATGGTTATTAATTGGATACAGACTTTTTGTAATTGAATGAAGATATTATTAAATAATAGAATCTTTATATGTATGCACCTATACAATGGATAAATTAATAAATGGACGTTGGATTTAACGAACCACTATTTATACATTATGATAGATAAATTATGATAGAAGGGATATACAAATATTTTTATTGTCTACTGTATATCATACTATATATACAAGAATGCACTTAATTATTGCTATGTAACTCTACTTAAATGAATGTAGTCTGCTTCTTTCAAATTAAGTAGCAAATTGACTCTGGTGTAAAAAGAAACGACGTAGTGAAACACGATTTATATTGCGAGTAAATTAACTGATATCAAAGATGTAGCTGGATGCGCGTTAATAATGTACAGTACGTGGAAAAAGTAATTAGCAGATGAATTAATTTGATGAAATACAAACTTATATTTAAATACTTCATCCGTTTGTATTCTGAAAGGTATTTATTTTGTAGAAATTCAATTTATTTATTACAAAGTTCATCATATTGTAGTTTTGTTATTTGATATCGGTATAAATATTGGAATAGCAAGGAAAATGTTTTTATGCAATTTTCTCCCAGATTTGGTAAAATATCTTATATAATTCTTTTCGATCTTAAATCCTCGAAGAATGTTTGATTTTTATGGTATTGACAAGAATGTCGTAGGTGCAACCTATTTTATAAGATAAAACGTGTTTTCTTTGTTTCTGTCATTTCTGGACTTTCTTTGAATACAAAATATCGTTGGTCCCTCTGTGCAGCCGTAGCAAATACTATCAAATCTCATATTCTAGAAGTTTGAAGTTTTAAAACATAAATTTCTAAAACTTTGATTTGTAATATGTACTTTTGTATTCCTTATATATTTCATAGATTTGAAATTTCGTAAGAACGAAACCAATATTTACTTTTTCTCATCATTTATTACTTATTTAAATATTAATTGAAAGATTTGTAATTTAAATTTTTTAATCCAAACTACTCGGAGCTTTCAGATTCTAATGTTGAATTTAAAAATTTAGACGAGGAACCAAATTTAATTTATATTTTAATTATGCATATATTGTCGTATATTTTAATTTCTCAACATACGAAACAAATCTTTAAGTATATATTATCTACCTAGTATTTATTTACATGTATCTATAGTTTAAATAGACAGACTTTAATAAATCTTATATCATCTTGCGAATGCTAATATGATATTTCAGTCAATGAAGAAGTTAACAACTATCGATACAATTAAGAGTTTACTAAAATTTTTCTTTATTCTATTGAATATTTGATTTACAATTTGATTTAGTATGACGCTCGTTCGCTGTGTGATATTATTTAACAGCCACGTCGCGAATAAGAGCATTTGTATATCGTATTGCAGACTTCAATCGACGTTTGACTATGGGGTCGCATTGGATGGTTCTCGATCATTAGGTTACGCGCACAAACGAAAAATTGTCGCGCAACATTTTTATCGCTTTCACTCGCATCAATCAAAGGTTCAGTTTCTCCTCCTTTGAGGTATTAACAAAAGAGTCATCGCGTTGTCCATATTTAAAACGCTTATCGTGCTTTCGTAAGTGAAAAGATTGTGGCGCGAAAAATTGTCGCTAGTACGCTCATAGTTTTTGTAGTCGACGCGTGTACCGGAGAGGTTAAGATGAGTGAAACGTAACAGGATTTATTTGTAAACGACGTGAACGGAGTTTATGCACTGATTCGCGTAGTAAAATGTGTACATAGTACACGCGACACTACCTGATTTTCATTAGTTTACATTCACTGCAGTAAACTCGTTTCGTGCCTAATTCACGCATTTCAATTTTTCGAAACTCGATGGATATCTTATTTGTTTCTGACACTTTTTCATTAGCACACGCATTTTTGCTTATTGTGTATACCTAAAAACGAGGTTATGTCATAGACATAGTCTTGTACTTTTACTTCCGCGAAAGGTAGAAAATAGTTTCTTACGAACGTAAAATGAAAATGGACTACATAGTTTTCTTAGACGGTAATTTATTCGAAGTGAGTGCATCAACGAAAACCAGATTTACTGATGACGAAGCTGTTACTTTCTACGAATTATTTTACATTTTCCAAATATCTCAAGGTAATTAAAATTTGTTTGAAATTTTATTTCATTTTGTCGGAACCTTTATTTTATAATTTAGTTCCATTGGATTCAATAGATTCGTTGTAATGGCTGCTCGATGATCCGACTACATATTTCGAACGCGGCATGTATCTTAATTGTTGTTGATAATAGTACCTAATAAAAAGTAATCGACAAAAGTAGTATAAAGTATAAATATTAATTTTGTAGATGTTTTTTGTGCAACAATAATGTATTGTGTTAAGTATATAGTTAAGTATTATAGCAATAGTTACTAGATACTAATTAATATTTACTAGTTACTATAAATTTAGCGAATAATAATGATTATTCCATTTACTTAATTGTTCTCCCAGTTTAAAAATAATTGTAATTCTCCATAAAGGAAAAGAAATTGTTATACATAAATATTAAATTGTTGTTGGAATGTAATTTAGAGTATATATCTACAGCAATAAGTCATATATATTACTTTGAAAAGAATCAGATATGGAACAGTGATTAAGGAAGTAGGTAAATATAAGGTATAATTACATACTCGTTAAAAAAACAGAGGGAAAGTAGTAGTATTTTTTTTAATAAACTTTAGAGACATAATAGAAAGTATTAAGAAATAAGAGTGATACATAGACATAATAGATGTCTAATACTTTAGACATAATATGTTTTACTCATTTACATCATACGCAGCCGTATTAATTTTGAAATTATTGTATATATAAGATATGAATTCACATAATAATCTTAAAGTTATAATACATAAGATATTAATGAATTGCTAACATTACAATTTTCACATGATTAAAATTACAATGTTTTAAAATTGCAAAAATGCAAATCTTCAGAATTAATTTTACTAATTATATTTTTATAATTATCGATATAATGGAATTATTTTTATACAAATATCGATGTAATATATTGAGTATATAAACTGAATGTTTCTTGGTTACGTTTAACCTACCACCTTGTGCTCAGGAATCAGTTTAAAAACAATCAATTATCTAGGCGAGATTTCGTGTAAAATTCACATGAAACGATAATTGGAATTATTTATTTATATTTATATTATTATTTATATCATATATATTTTATAAGGTACATAAGAAGGTAAGAACTTACCTTAAAATATAATGGTACACTTTCTTGTTTGCCAGACTGAAGGAGACTGCGATTTATCTAATTCACGCTTAAGTTGCGCGTTCCTACAGCCTCGAGAATAGTTTTTGTATTTCGTCCATGAACGATTGTGACTCGAAAGGAAATAATCGAATCCACCGTGGTACTATGCACTATATGAAAAAAATTATTCTGGTTTAACGAATTTCTTAAAATAAATATCAATGTTGCTTCTCGTGGACCACTTTCTTCTTTTTTAAACTCTGTTATATAACTTTGTTATCGAGTTTTTCGTATCGTATAATTAACTATTTATTCTTCCTCAGAGTTCATAATTGCGTAATTCTTTAAAAAAAAAATCATCTTAAACATTTGCAGTTTTTTTAAATCAATTTCATAACAGATAAGTTTGCGAGAGATTTTGCGGTATTACTAAATGAAATAAAAAAGTTTGCTAGAGTGCAATGAATAGAAAGAATAAAATTAAGCAGAGTTTTTGCACATACTTCGTGTTTATTCGATAGTCGACGTGTGATTCAAAAATGAGTAAAACAACATGCTCTTTTTCGTATTTTCGCGTAAACTTACTAAGCATATTCGCTGAATGGGCTTGCGTTTTCAAATTCTACGCTCCGTGGAATAACTTTCAATTAATTCAAACCATTTAAATTCATTTCAAACTATTAATTCGGCAGAATATGAAGTTATGAACGGATAACTGCAACTATCTGAGTAACTTGATTCCTGTTCTTTTCCATTTAAGTCAGCCACTGTATTTGGCGATTATAATGCAAAACTCTTTCGTTTCATCTAGATTGAGAAAGTTACGAAGTTCTTAGCTACTGTGTGGTTAATACTGTCTTCCACTCCATACCATTCTGCGAAATCATGGATTTTCAAATCGACGCTTGCTTCCAGAAATTTAGTTTGACTCTATACCTATAGTTAAATTGATTCGATAAATATTTCATCTAATTTCTTGTTCGCCAAGGATTTCACTCCATGAACATATACTTTAAAACTATCGTAATGATTAGTACAATTTTTCTACAATTAAGAAATCTATATAAGTTGAACAAGAAATTAATCGATATTACTTGCTCATCAAGGAAGTATTTACACACGAAGGAAATGTTTATAATTACATTGTCTCGTGGCCTAAAAATCTCAAACTCGACATATTTTACAGCGCTTCTACTAAGTGCATAGAAAAGAATAAAACAAAATTACAAACTCCTACTTTCTTCTTACAACTGGAACGAATATAAAATTCTGAATCACGGTCAATAGAATTTCAAACAAAGAACATATCTGAATACTTGTATCACAACGATCGATGTTACGAATTTTTAAATTGAAAATGAAATAATAAATTCGATACCTATTATAGCCTGACTCGTTACATATCTTTAACAAAAATATAAAAATATAAGAAAATAAACATAGATAATATAGATATCTTTCTATTGCAATGTTATCTATTGTATTCGTTTCTTTGCTATCATCTAAAAAGATTTTAAAATTCTTTTCTATTATCAAGAATTATCAAGGTATTATCAAGAATTATGATTTTTAACTTGGAAATGTCTGCATATTTCCATAACTGTACGATTTTAAATAGATTCTATAAATTTCATAACGTAGAATTTACTTATGATCTATAACAAACAAATAACAATTGTTATTTATATTTTGCATCGTGTTAGTTGCCTTTAATTGCCTTTCACTTTTCAAATTCCATTGACGAAAAACATGCAAATCACTGGCAGCTCAATTGTTGGCGAAAACTCCATATAATTCGTTACGCAAGTGAAAACCAATTTCAGTCAAAGAACATAAATCTGCACGGAACAGAGCATTTCAATGTTAGGTTAATATCTCTATTGTACCTTGACCACATAGTTATTTACGCTATTATTGTTCAACAAAGCGGTCAGTCATCAGCAGTAAAGGCGTTTTACGTGTTGTTTCTGTTTTTAATTAGTACATATAGCGTGTCGTAGAAAATTGGAACAGTTTACGACGTCGAAATAATTCGAAATAAAATAACTTTTGTTAGTTACTCAAGGAAATAGTAGTGCAACGTGATATTAACAATACAATGAGTTTGAGAATAGCAATTTAATGTAATTTATGCAGCAAAATCTTCTGTCGGAATTTCTTTTTTCAAGCAATTTGGATTATTGCATATATATATATTTTTATAGATTTTTTTAGATTATTGCATATCGTAGTAACACTTGTTTCTTGTTGTACAAGAAAATAATTCTATAGCACTTGTAATAGTTCTAAGGTTAAAGTTGGGGAGCTCAAGATTAACGACGAGGCATTATATGAAGGGACGATATAAAAATAGCATAAACAGTAAAATCTTGCTTATCCGAAATAATATGAAAAAACAAAATTGTTCGGATAATTGAATGATATCACTTTTCTCATATAAAATTTCACTTCTTCAAATATAGATTAAAATTAACTGGCAGTTTCTTTAAATATTTCTGGATCCCATATCTTTTTGGTTGCTGAGTCTTATTATAATTCTTTCACCATAAATAACTGCATATATTTATATTCTTGTTGTATTTCAAACTATCGAAACGCTTTTTCCAATGCCTCGGATACTTGGGCGTCAGAAGGCACCTCTCTATTGCCAGTAGCGTTCACTGTTTCCATTTCTATGAAATCGTCTCTATCGAGATGAAAACATTTCGTTGCGTTAGTATATTTCAGATTTTCTACTGTTGCCAGGGAAATCTACCTGCTTTAGACAATATTCGATATCAAGTTTGTGCTTTTTAATGTCGTCATCATGGCTTTTTCAACGTCATGTATGTTTCCTGATCCCGTTGCACTCACTTCACTCTTCAATTTTCTAATTATGTTAGAATGCTGTTAGTTTCATATTAAATTCTTCCAATCAGAATTCACTGAATCGAATAAAGCAAAGGATACATCGTGCACGAACAGTAATAAAATATGTACATATTTGAAACGGAAAAAGGTATTCAGTGGTGGGCATAATTAACTTAATAATTAATTATGGAAAGTATATGAATTTGTTAACGAAATAGAATGACTGGTTAATAAGGATTAGAGCATTAATAAAATGTGATCTTCGTAGCAGCCTATTAACGTCATTAGTCGCCAATAAGTAAATTTGATTAAACGTCGAAGGACTAACAGACGTTAAAAGCGATAGAAGATCGCAGATAATATAAGAGATCTTGATAATTATGTGAATGTTGAAACTCGAAATGTTCCTGTATATAATTTCATGGCAATATTGATATAATATTTCGGGTGTCGTATCTTTACGAGTGTCCTCGAATTAGGGATCGAAAGCTTTAATCTTGGCGAAAGATTCGTACGTGACTGCCTTGAACGAGGTGGCCGGGATACATTTTCGAAATGCAACAGCTGCGTCGATTTTGAGCGACACGTGCTACAGCTATGAAATATGCCATCCTGAGAATCGTTTTGTCATGAGAATCGGACGTGTTATCTTGGTCGAATGTGGGGGATTATAGTTGGAAGACGAACGGTGTAGAGGGTGCAATAAATTAAGCGGAGATTTTGTGATTCTTAACGAATGAATGACACGTACGTTTATTTCGATTATACGAATTTTTGGTACGTGTATTTATTCCATCTTATTTACATATTTTACATATTGTTCATACACATTACATGTTATCATTATTTTATTTACATGGAAAATAATTACATACATGAATTTTTATTTACGCGAGAATAATTTGTAATCTAGGGACCTTATGAATTTAAAATAATCCTTGTAACTAAGAGATTATTGTTTTTGTAGTAACATCCGGGTTACGGATTTTATATACTTACATTTTTCGTTCGTTAGCTTGGTTTTT